ATATGAAGGAGAGAGAACTCAGACTCTCAAGGAGGGCACAAGATTTGGAAAAGGAACTAAGAGCTTGCCCTAGCCAGTTCTGCTCAGTGGGTAGAGTGCCGACCGAGGACTGAAGGGTCCCAGGTTTGATTCCAGTCAAGGGCACATAGGAGAGGCAACCAATTGATGTCTTTCTCTCACATCGATGTTTCTCTCTGTGTGTCTCTCCCTCTCCCGTCCACTCCCTCTAAAAATCAATGGAAAAATATCCGCGGGTGTGGATTAACAACAACAACAACAAAAGAACTAAGAGCTTGAGAATCAAACAAAACAATTCCAAGCTCCAGTACTCATTAGCCGTCTAAATGTGAACCAATTAATTAATTTCTCTAAGATAAAAAACACTGTCATGGCAAATTGTGTGTCAAATGATAATGCTGAAAGGATATGATGACAGATTTCAGATGCCTAACAGCGACAGGTGCTACATAAATTTACTGTTCTTTCCCCTTCATATTTTAATGCCAGGAAGAGAATGATCTTCGGAAATTTCCACTTACCGAGCATTCCTTTCTTGGAACTGGACAGACACATGTCCTTCTCTGCACTAGGCAGGGCAAAACTCACCACAAACACCTCCACCCCATCAGCCATCAGGGCCAAACCCAAGACGAAAAACAGGATCCACTGGAAGCGCCCGTGGCCACACTCGTCCATGATGGCCTCATACTGATGAGCCAACTCCTCCTCATCTTCCATCCTTTCAGCCATCAGGTCCGCCTGGCCCCGAAGGTCATCCTCCCTGGAGGACGCCATCTTGGTCTTCTTGGCCTTGACATCGTCTGGGTGAGGGATGCCCTGGTACTCGCCCTCATAGATCTCATCCTCCTCATCATGGCCTTCGGTAACATCACTCTGTGCATCCTCCTCTGGGTTGGACTCATTGCCGGGATAATAACCGTCCGTGTGGGCGTAGCCCTCATAGTTGTCCTGATACTTATAAGCATCCATTCCTTGGTTCCGCGACTGCCTGGTCACCTCTCAAGCTATATCTTGTGCACCGTGGTAGAGGTTCGGGCTGTTTCAATAACCATCATCCATTCTATGTGCAGAGGTTTAAATGGAGAATGTGTTTGTATGACTTCTTAGGTAAAAGTAACACCTGTATGTCCCCGCTATGTCCGTCGATTAGAGCAGATTTATGCAAAGCAACCTAAGTATCCTTTTGCACTCAGTGTCTACTGAAATTTTGAAAATTTTCAAATTCTGGTCTGGTTTCCTTCAGTGACCCAGAGATGTTGGGGGCGGGGGCGGGGGGGGATGTTGATTAGAAATGGGTCCAGCTGAGCTCCTCAACAAGGTGCTGCTGGCAGGAACTGGCAGCTTGCTGAGTGGCCCCATTCGTTCTGTTACTGGAGGTTATGCCCTGGAAGTACAAAGAGAAAGAGAAGAGGATTACAAACTGCTAAAACTCTAACACTCTCAGAATTACTAGTAAATATATTTACTAATGCCAGTGCTTCGTGTGGAAGGTGTAGGAAATCTTGATGAGACATTCAGATCCATGGGGAATGAATGAGGACTGAATCAGTGAGACAAAGAATAAGGGGAGAAAGAACAGGGTCAGAGAAGCCCTTGGAAGTGTTGATTCACCCATAAAAGGAGTCAAATCTTGTATAAGAATGAAACAGCCCGGCCAGCGTAGCTCAATGACTGAGTGTCAACCTATGAACCAGGAGGTCATGGTTTGATTCCTGGTCAGGGCACAGGCCGGGGTTGGGGGCTGAATGCCCAGGTGGGGTCGTGCAGGAGGCAACCAATGAATGATTCTCTCTCATCATTAATGTTTCTCTCTCTCCCTTTCCCTTCCTCTCAGAAATCAATAAAAATATATTTTTTAACATCAAAATAAATTTGATTTCAAAGAGGTGTTTTTGTTGGGTTTTTTTCTTTCTGATGTGTCTTTGAGTTAACATTCAACTGGATGGATGGGACATCTGTTTCAAAAGAAAGCTCCAGGGACAGGATAGAATAATTTCCAATATCAGATCTCTTTTAAAATGAAAGAAACTTTTATGAATATTTATTGTCATCAAAGTGGACTCGGAATAATTTTATTATCCTGACATTAATAGATCCAGTGTATATGTCTGTTCTCTTGGGTAGATTTATGCAAAATAGTCTGAGAAATCTTAAGACGCCGTGGTAATATTTTGACTTTGAGCTTTTAAGCAAACATGTGAGGAGAGGAAAGGTGTTTGCTTCTGACTGCCTGAATTTTGCATAAAGTGGTGAAGGTCAGCTAGATAAGTTGGATGCCAATGATAAAATGGAACATATGGCTTTGAAGTAGCGAATAAGTCATGAGTCGGCACTTTTCAAACTCACAAAGAAGCACCTGACCAGCAATGGAAAAAAACAAGCTAAAGAAGAGAAAAACTGGGGAACAGAAAGTCCTGGAGTGATGGATCAGAAGTCAGTGTAGGCTCCAAGAGCAGGACTTTGGGGAAAATGCTTAAAGAAAGGGATATTTTATTATTTGTTCAGATAAAATATTTTTATTTTTTAAATAATTCTTTATTGTTGAAAGTATTACATATGTCCCCCTTTTCCCCCATTGGCCCCCTCCAACCCACACCTGCCCCAGGCCCTCACCACCCCACTGTCTGTGTCCATGGGCCATGCATATATGCATACAAGATCAAGAAAGGGGTATTTTAGAGAGCACTACCAAAGCCAATTTTCCCTCCCAAGGAATAAACTTAACCCTAACAGTAACATTAACCCAGTGGTCGGCAAACTGCGGCTCGCAAGCCACATGCGGCTCTTTGGCCCCTTGAGTGTGGCTCTTCCACAAAACACCACATGCAGGCGCGCACATACAGTGTGATTGAAACTTCGTGGCCCATGCGCAGACGTCGGTTTTCGGCCTGGGCGAGTCTATTTTGAAGACGTGGCATTAGAAGAAGTGGGGGGTGTTGGTCGGTCAGTCGGGCAATGGGAGACGCGGCGCAGGCGTACCCTAATTAAGTTAATAACAATGTCCCTACCTATATAGTTTAAGTTTAAAAAATTTGGCTCTCAAAAGAAATTTCAATCGTTGTACTGTTGATATTCGGCTCTGTTGACTAAGGAGTTTGCCGACCACTGCACTAACCCATCAAATCCCACAATATCTGACATCCATTGCTCATGATGCCCAGGTAAGGTGCTAATGGGTAGCATGTATTGAAAAGTCACTATGTGCCAAGCATTGTGCTAATAAGCATTTTATGAGCATTCTTAAATTCTTAAGCTTTGGAGGTGGGAATTACTATCATCCCCATTTTTCACATGAGAAAACAAAAGCGCTGAAAAACTAAACAACTTGCCAAAGGACGTGCAGCAAATCAACGAGGTTGCCCAGGTACGAACCCGGAAATGTGACTCAGAACCCATGCTCTTCACTACAAAACTGTACTTTGGTATCCACAGTGGAATAAATTGCTTGAAAGTTGAACAAAAATTGTCATACAGTTCAAACTAATATACTTTTAGATTTAAGATCTTAAAAATGCCTATAATGTAAATATACATTTACTAGACTCTAGTAACTAGAGGCCTGGTGCACAAAATTCATGCACTGTGGTGGGGGTCCCTCAGCCCAGCCTGCACCCTCTGGCAGTCCAGGAGCCCTCAGGGGATGTCCAACTGACAGCTTAGGCCCGCTCCCCACAGTTGGACATCCTTAGCACTGCTGCAGAGGCAGGAGAGGCTCCTGCCACCTCTGCTGCGCTTGCCAGTCGTGAGCCCAGCTTCTGCATTGAGCATCTGCTCCCTGGTCAGCCGGCTGGGGAGAGGGTCTACAGGAGGTTGGCTGTGGGAGTGTACTGAGCACCAGGGGGCAGCTTCTGCATTGAGCATCTGCTCCCTGGTGGTCAGTGCACGTCATAGCGACTGGTCGTTCCACCATTCGGTCAATTTGCATATTAGCCTTTTATTATATAGGATACCTCTCTCTCTGCCTCTGATGTGCAGCCCCACTTCCTTCAATCATAAAATCTCATATCATGAACCATTCAGATTCTCACCAAGCCTTTCCTTGGTTAGAACCGACATCACAGGATTGTCCCACAACCATGGAGATAAGAATCCTGTAGCATCAGGGACTGTCTTAACCTAGATAGTGTTTTCTTCCTTTAAGCACTGCTTCTGAGTAGCCTAAGACTGTTTTTAAGTTTTATTTTAGCTCCTTATCTTTAAATAATGACTCACCCGATTAACCAATTACATAAATAATGGACAAGTGGAATAATCCATTTGACGACCATCTTGAGGTTGTTACTTCTCTGAGAAGAGGGGTTGTCATCTGTCACTTTTTCCACGTGGGAGTTATGGTTGAACACTTATTGGGTTATTTTTAAAGTAATGTAAGAAAATTCATAGCATCTGGTCTCTTAGAACCAGAAAGAATTTAGTTCAAGCTGGATTATAAATCTCTGCAATCTGTATTGAGAGAGAGAGAGAGAGAGAGAGAGGGAGAGAGAGAGAGAGAGAAAGAGGGGAGTGTGTATGTGTGTATATTTACATTATAGCCATTTTTAAGACCTTAAATAAACACTGAAATTTTGCACTTTCTTCTTTCATTTTGAAATACTTACACATCTCAAATGTAAGATGTCTAGAGCCACCTTTGACCGGCCTTCTGATTTTAAAAATGCATTCAAACTAAGAACACACTGACACTTCAAAATAAATCCAATTGAGAGAAACAGGCTTGAGAGAGGAGGCTGCTTCTCCTAGGGCTGATTTAAAGCAAGTTCAAGTCCCTCCTTTTGGAAACCTCTCATGACAATGTGACCATCCATCTAAGCGCCATTGTGATGGAAGACCTGCTGTGTTTCACGTCCTGAGCTAAATTTAGTGCCTCCCATTGCGGCAGGCACACAGCAAGGGCTCAATTAATATTTCCTGAGTGTATGTAATACATGAATAATTGAATAGAAGGGACCTCAACAAGTTCGAAATCTAGGCATTCCTATTGCAAGAGTCTGAAATAAGATGATGAAACCTGAATCAGTTCCATCGATGATGATAGCACTGCTGATGCTGAAGGCCATGACCATGAACTTAATTCCCTTGGGGGCCGGTGAACTTTGGTGATTCTGAGACACCACACTGAGCGATACGCCCGGCTGGGCCGTCTCTCACGTGTGTGCCACTGACCGCAGGGGCATCATGTACAATGGGTCAGCACAGAGTCATAGCTGGATAAACTTAGTTCAAGTGCCTGTTCTCAGAGGACAAGACCATCTCTTTGGGTCTTTGATTTTTTTTAAAATATATTTTATTGATTTTTTTACAGAGAGGAAGGGAGAGAGATAGAGAGTTAGAAACATCGATGGGAGAGAAACATCGATCAGCCGCCCCCTGCACATCCCCCACTGGGGATGTGCCCGCAACCAAGGTACATGCCCTTGACCGGAATCGAACATGGGACCCTTGAGTCCGCAGGCCGACGCTCTATCCACTGAGCCAAACCGGTTTCGGCTGGGTCTTTGATTTTAAGGAGTTCCTCTACCACCTTTAAAAATGCCGTTTGTGAAGGGGGAAAGCCACAATTCTGTTAGATAGCAGTTAACCATGAACCAGGCTCAGAGAATACAGAGCTGTCAAGTTTGGAAACTGTCATGGAGAATTGTCATTCATCTGTATATCCAGGGGCCCTAAGGTTTGTGCTACTGCCTAATGTTTGTTTACGCATTCAACAGCCTCTATTGAGCACCTATGGGGTGCCAGGCACTGGACAAGGCTAGAGAGATCCTGCCCTCATGGAGTCCATAGTCCAGGCAGCAGAGATATTACAAATATATAATCCGATAGAAGCCAAGAAGAAGGCATCATTTACAGTAACTTACCAAGGACTTTACCTAGTAGTCCTCAAGAAAGACGTCCCTAAGGAGGTGGCCTTTGAGATGAGAGCTGAAGGCTAAAAATTAGCTAACAAATAGCTATGATCAGCCCTAACCTGTTTGGCTCAGTGGATAGCACGTCATCCTGCGTACTGAAGGGTCCCAGGTTCGATTCCGGTCAAGGGCATGTACCTTGGTTACAGGCACATCCCCAGTAGGGGGTGTGCAGAAGGCAGCCGATCAATGTTTCTCTCTCATTATTGATGTTTCTCTCTCTCTCTTCCTCTCTGAAAATTTTTTTTAATATATTTTATTGATTTTTTACAGAGAGGAAGGTAGAAGGATAGAGAGTTAGAAACATCGATGAGAGAGAAACATCGATCAGATGCCTCCTGCACATCTCCCACTGGGGATGTGCCCGCAACCAAGGTACATGCCCTTG